TCACACTCCTCCAGCTGGGGGAGTCCTCCCGCAAACCAGGCATGTGTCCCGAGAATCAAACTGGCGACCTTTCAGTCTGCGGGATGATGCCCAACCTACTGAGTGACACCAGTCAGGGCTAACATTTGATCTTTAATCCAGTAGAAACTGAATAAATATCTCTGTCTTTCTCTGATAAGATACAATCCCAAGTCTGGTCATTTCATCTTCAAAACTTCAAGTTCTCCTAGTGATCCAAGCAGAGTGATACTATAGATGTAATCAATAATAATATCCAGTGTTTGGCTAAGAGCTGGCGGCTAAACTGAAGGTAGCTTACAATACTATGATCCTTAAAAAAATAACCAATCCTCACACCATCCCAATATAAGGGACTGGTGAAAAGGTACTGTTGGTGGGCAAAACCTGGTGCACAACCCCTTCAATAATGTAATAAACTTCTATATGAACAGATTATAGTTGACACCTGCTACTGCTAAGTGTCTGGGGCTCTATTTGGTTCTTGCAAGCAGCAAAGTCTGCCTATGTAATTCATTATGCCTCTATTCCCCAAGGAAGTGAGGTAAAAGCCCATGTATGTTTCCAGAATGAGGCATTATTTTCTCCAGCCAAAGATCTGTAATTCCTCATTAGACTGCCAATAGCAATATTGAACATGGGCAGTTTCATTTAAAGCCAGTTGTACCAAGAACAAATGTCGCCACTGGGGATTTCACAGCATGTAATTAGGAAGCAAAGTGGGGAGATAAGTACTATGAGGGCAGAATAGCTACAGTGTTTCTCTAGGGTGGTCCAAGTGTAAGTCTTACCTGGAATTAGAGGAATGAATTTAACCAATACCAGCTTGTGGAAAGTTTTCGGTGCCACAGAGAAATGAGGAAAATGAAGGCGTGTGGGAGTTTCCTAGGAGGTTAGATATATTCTTTTCATTTTCGGTTTTCATTATGTGCATTCATGTTTTTGGTATTGACTGACATTTTTAATATGAAATAATGTTAAGTGGAGAGGCAAGTAATAGAACAATGTGGATACACAAGAAAGGGTTTCCTCCAGGGAGGGAAGTGGGGAGCTGTAGGGAAAGGGAGGGAGGGAGAACTGTACTGTATGCCCTTTTGATCCTTTTGGATTTTGAATCAGGAGAATGCACTAATTATTTTTTAAAAACCCGAATTAATTAAATTATAATGAGTAAGATGAATTATAATAAATAAAATGAAATGAAATGGATAGAAAATTTGGTACTTCCACCAAGATGGAGGCATAGGTGGATGTGCCGTGCCTTCTCACACAACCAAGTTTAGAGACAACTAAATATTAGCAACAGAAAACACAGCCAGAACACGGAAAATTGAACTTTTCGGAAGTCCGTTAACAACAAATTCTTCAGCCTAACCGGTAAGGGGCGAAACCAGCGGCTGGTGAAGCGGGGGTTGCACAGGAGGTCTCGGTCAGACGGACTCAGGCACGCGCGGAATCCAGGCGCAGGGTGGGACCTAGTGAGCGACCGAGCGACCTCGGGGGAGACAGCGGGGGAGCGGTGCTGCGTGTTGACTGTGGTCAGCGCATTTGTGCGCGGGTGGACAGGCGAGGGAGTGGGCGATTGGACCGGAACCCAGCGGGTCCCCGCAGCAAGCGGCAGGGAGGGCGCAGCCATTTCCCTGCTCTGACCCCACCTCCACATACAGCGTCATAACCCAGCGACTCTGAGTGGCCTGGCCCAGGTGAACCACCTAAGATGCTGCTCCTCACCCAGCAGCGAGAAACAGCAGAGGGGGTCGCCATTTCCCTGCTCTGACCACGCCCCCACATACAGCGTCACAACCCAGCGACCTGGGAGTCCAAGGCGCCACTTCTCACACTTAAAGGGCGCGAACAGACCAAAAATGGCGCAAGAAGATCTCAAAGCCCCAGAGCCTATAGATCTAAGCAATGAAGAAATAGCAAAACTCTCAGACGCACAGTTTAAAACACTGGTCATCAGGATCCTCACAGAACTGGTTGATTATAGCCACAAATTAGACAAATATATGAAGGCAAAACTAATTGAAATGAATGGAATTGCACAGGGCACCAATAGCAATGAAAAGGAAACTGGGACTCAAATCAATGGAGTGGACCAGAAGAAACCAAATAATGGCCAAACAGAAAAGAGTCAAGAAGCAAGAATTCAAAGAAATGAGGAGAGTCTTAGGAACCTCCAGGACATCTTTAAACGCTCCAACATCCGAATTATAGGGGTACCAGAAGGGGGAAAGGCACAGCCACCAGTGGAAAACTTATTTGAACAAATAATAAAGGAGAATTTCCCCAATCTGGCAAAGGAAATAGACTTCCAGGAAATCCAGGAAGCTCAGAGAGTACAAAAGAGGTTGGACCCAAGAAGAAACACACCAAGGCACATCATCATTACATTAGCCAAAATTAAAATGAAGGAGAGAATCCTAAAAGCAGCAAGAGCTAAGGGGACAGTCACCTACAAAGGAGTCCCCATCAGACTGTCAGCGGATTTCTCAAAAGAGACCTTACAGGCAAGAAGGGGCTGGAAAGAGGTATTCCAAGTCATGAAATCCAAGGACCTACAACCAAGATTTCTCTATCCAGCAAAACTTTCATTTAGAATGGAAGGACAGAAAAAGTGCTTCTCAGATGAGATCAAATTCAAGGAGTTCATCATCACCAAGCCCTTATTATATGAAATGTTAAAGGGACTTATCTAAGAAAAAGAAGTTAAAACATGAACAGTGAAAGGACAGCAAACTCACAGTTATTAACAACCACACCTAAAACAAAAGCAAACTAAAAGGACAGCTAGATCAGGAGTGGAAACATAGAAATGAAGATCTCAAGGAGGGTTAGCAACAGGGGGAGTGAGGAGGAGAAGGGGGAGAAGGTACAGAAAATAAGTAGCATAGACAGCAGATAGAAAATAGATGGGGGGGCAAGAATAGCATAGGAAATACAGAATCTAAAGGACTTGAGACACATGGTCATAAACTAAAGGGGGGTAATGGTGGGGATGGGGGGATAGGGTAGAAGGGAATGAAGGGGGAATAGAACAACTGTAACAGCATAATCAATAATAAAATTAAAAAAATAAGGGGAAATGGGAGGGAGTAATGGGTGCATAAACAAAAAGAAAAATAACTAAATAAAAATTTTAAAAATCTCACTATTTCGAGCATCCATTGGTGACTGGGTAGCAACCTCATTCCTTCTACACTCGTATTTTAGTTGGCATTCTGCTGTAAGGAAGAGCTTTTTCTCCACCTCGTTTATTCATTTACTTATTTCTCCAAATCACATCAACTCATGAACTGTTATTTTCTTTTACTCAAAGGGCTTAAGCCCATTACTATTATTAATTTTGATTCTGTCAACCAGGTTGGCTTGCGGGAAATTCTTTTTTAAAAAAACACAAAACAAGCCTCTACAATTTAATCTGACCTGACTGCATCTGAGTGAAACTCTCCCCCTCTTCACCTCTTTGGTTTTTGTATTAATTTTTGTAACGAGTCTATAAAATAAATGACTACTCACTCTGTGTATTCTGGTGCATTGTCTCATGTGTATCACATGATTATATCAGGATATTGGTAAACTCCATACAGTGACGCTGTGTGTCCACACAATAGTCAGGAAGCTCATTATCATACATGTGTAGTTGCAACACCGGAGAACAGGGGTTTCCATATGATGTATAAATCTTTTAGGCTGAGGCTAAAAATAATGAGTCGCTGTAAATCTTCGTAATGCATGTATACTCCTCAAGCACATAAGCTCATTATTTTATGTGACAACCCCACTTTGTAACACACATGCAAGAAAAAAAATGAATAAAGCTTGAATTGTCCATCTCTATTTTTCCCATCATCCCCGGTTAGGTATCTTTCCATTAGTACAAATAATTGAGAGTAAACCACCAGTGAAAGAATGGACAGAATGCTCTGTTTCATTCACTCTTTAAGTATTTCTTTGGGTAAATATCATACGTAACATAGGTAAATCTTTCCTACAATGTGGAGATGAAAACAAAAATAACAGTTAATCCCCTAGGCATCAAATTAGTAGGCCTAGCACTTTTCTACATACTAGAGTATTTGTTTCTTTAGACTGTCTCTACCGGTATATTAGTTTCCTGGTCCTCAATCGTGACTGCCTTTGTAATCACCTCTTGAACTTCAAACAAATTCTGAGGCTTGTACCCATTCTGGGAGATTCTGACGTAATTGGCCTAGGGTGGTGTCTCGTAATGGGCATTTTTTAAAGCTGGTTTGAGCACCACTGGTTTAAACACTTTGTCCTCCCCCGACAGTGCCAAGCAAGGTGCCGGGTGGGAAGTGACGTTTAGAATGAATCAAGTTCTGTTTTTCAGGAGGGCAGGAAGTGTAGTCTCACAAACACAAACACTCCTGCTGCCCTGGCACAGAGATCACTAGGAGAAGGCAGGTCCTGCCGAGTCCTCGGGTCTCTCTTGACTCTCACTAGTGTCCACGCTGAAGCTCCGGTACTGTCCAGCCAAGTCCGGGAGGCCTCAGAAATTATAAGTTCATTAAAAAGTTCAGGGGTGCCAGGCTGTCTCGTTTCTAACACGTGAGGCAGAGGCTGAAAGGGCTTGTGTGGGGGACTTCAAGCTCTGCCCAAGTCAGTCTGGGATCTTCTCTCAGCTCCAAATTGCAGTGGGGCAGCGAGCGCTTCCCTCTCGGGTAGACGGGCACTATGGTAGCAGGGCACTAAGACGAGGCGGCGAGCCAAACTGGGCCTGAAGTGCCCAGACGCCGGTGTGTAGACTCTCGCCCTGGAAGCACCAGTCGCTGCGCAACTCCCAGGGGCTGCACGTGGCGCGACGCAAGAAGCGGTCTAGCTTAGCTCCAGGAAGCAGGGCGTGTGGACTACAAGTCCCGGCATGCCTCGGGCGGGGGTGGGTTAGTGCGGATGCCTGGAAGGCGGTCGGGCCCAGGCCTGCGCAGTGGTTCTCGGGAGTGGCGGGGCGGATCCTCCCGGGCTGTCCTCTTGGGCCGGGTACTCCTGGGTGGGGGTGGCCGAGGCCATTGGCCGAGAGGCAGGAGGGGCGGGGTCCTCCGGTGCCGCTGCGGGTCTGGCTGAACAGGAGGAGGCCAGCGGCCGGCTGGAGAGGCACGCGTTGATCTGCTGCGTTTCTGTCTTGTCATGGCACCGTCGCCCCTGAAAGTGTGCATCGTGGGCTCGGGGAACTGGTGAGCGGCAGCGGGCCGACTGCACGGGATCCGCCTCCAGGAAGCCCCTCTCCCGGGCGTGCTGCGGCGGCGCGTCCCTGTCGCGTGGGCACCGCGCACCCCACGCAGGGAGGCGGGGCGGGCGGGCTCGGGGGCGGACTAGGCACCGCGCACCTGGGGAGTCAGACTAGGCGCTGGCGCCGGGGGCTCTGGGTCCGCGTGCTCGCGGTGAGCCGGGAGCAGAGCCAGTGCTGCGCGCCCGCGGGCACCTGTCTACGCTCAACTCTCCGCGCGGGGGGCGCACGAGGGCCACCTGCTTTCCACGCCAGGGTGTTATGCCTAAGGGAGTTCTCCGTTCTCGGGGGATCGCCTGGGTAGAGGAATTGGAGAAGGCTCGGATATTCTTGGTATAGTTTCGGTCCTAAGGCAGAGAGGGCTAAAAAGAGAGCTTGCAACCCAGGTCACAGGGTGGCGGCGTTACCCTTCCAGGGTCTCCGCTTGGTAGCTGTTAAGTCTGGTATCCTAGTAACGTTGCGTTGGGAAGAAAGCCCAACTTTCTACCGGCCTGTCACCCAGAGTAATCAAGGGGCGTTGAGAATTCTCCGGGGAGGTGTTTGCGAAGCTTTGCTTCTCTGCTAGGCTTTATTTGACTTTAACATTTATAAAGCACTTTTTCTGCCAGACGCTGCTTTAAGCGCTCTATAAATGTTTGTTCTTTTAGTTCCGTTTATCAAACTTACACAATGAGATTCTCTGGTGTGTGGGTGGGTGAGTGGTGTAGGGGACAGAGTATAGTGTAGAATCTGATTTTCCATTGCCATGCACTATTTTTCCCACATCCGAAGGACTGATATAGAATTTTCTTCATGGGCTTTTTGTTTGTGCTGTTATTGCAGCTGTCCCAGTTTTTCTCCCTTTGCCCCCACGCCCGGGTATAGAATGTTGAGTGATGTCCAGTCTGTTTTTGCATTTCTGGGGCCTGACACTCGTCACAGTTCAGGCCCTTAGGGCTCAGCAGCAATTTGTACCAGCTACTTGGCTTTAGTCTTTCTCTTTGAGACTTGGCCCAGAACGTATAATACTTCTTGGAGGTACTATACCTTAACTGGTTTTTTACTTACCGGTCCCCGCAAGTGCAGGGGCCCCTCCATGTATCCACCTCTGTCACTGACCTATCCCTGCAGGGGAATGATTCGTTTATCTGTTTCTACTCCTCCCTGTCCAGCTCTTGAGAACAGCATCTACCCTTGTGTCTGGCTTAGGCTAAGTAACTACTGAGTGTCTGAAAGCTCATTTTTTCAAATGCACTCATATTTGACTAGGTAATATATTCCTGTTGTTTAAAAAACTAAAGGTACCAACAAAACACAACACGAGGAACTGTTGCCCACCCACACTTAATGTTCTGGAGGAACTAATGTTAATCGGGTTTTTTTTTCTGTACTTCCTGGAGGAATTCCATCAAATGCAAATGAAGGTTTACCGAGGTTCCTTCCCCTCCCTGCCCTGCAGACACTAGGGTATTATGCACTTACCTATAAACGACAGTGTTCTGTACAACAGTTAATGGGGTTGGTATCTATCCACTACAGAGCTTCCTTTGGACTTGCAGCTTGGCTTTGCCAGTTTTCACCCCAAGGTCACTGGAGTGAGATGTCAGCTGCCCAGCTGGGCATGGGACTGGAGAAGCACCCACTTAGCACATGTTTTTTTAATGTTAGTTTCCTCTTGTGTAAGAAGCCACAGAACCACAGGTGCCACGAGCACCTTTTCCTAATTTGCAACAGGCAGTGGAAGTAGCACAACTTTGCCAAGCTGGATCTGGGCCTGCATTGGGAATAGTGAAGTGAACCTTCTGCTCCTTCTGCTGGGACTTGGCTGCCTGCCCACAGCTTTACTCTGTACTTCACTGTTTTCTCGCCCCACTCCAGCCCAAGGAAGTGGAGTAAATTTGGCTAATGATTCTGGAGCAGGGCAATTGAGAAATGTGCCGATCATTTGGGCTGGCTGCCTGGCTCCATTAACTATGGGATCAGATAGAAACAGTTGTTGGCTTCCTTGCAAATGCTCTGGGTGCAGAGCCACTTCTGTCCTAGAGAGAGGACCACGTCCTCACTGGAGATTCAGGAACTTAGGGGCTCATTGTGTGTTCGGCCCTGGTCAATAGACATTGCATGTTTCCAGGGATGCAGACACAGCTGGACACAATCCGTGCCTTTAAGAACTTCCCTTCCGGATCTGAGATAGCGATTTGGAAGATACACTCAAAAGAAATAGAAAGTGAAATGAAATATCTGTCACAAGATTGGATGGTACATTTTAAACAGTATTTCTTAAAATGCGGTCCAAAGCCACTTGCATCAGAATTCCCAAGGAAGCTAGACTTGCTGAATCATATTCCCTGAGGGACTTTAGCCTTTTGCTAATTTTGACACAGATTACCGATAGAGAGAGAGAGAACCTTTGAAGTAGTTCAGAGTGCTTATGTAAGTAAAGGTGTCACATCTATAACACTCACATTGACTGTAAAGGATCAGTTGCAGTACAAACACCTGAAGTTGGGAATCTGGCTGACTTGCCAGGGAGCTTCAGCCAGAAAGGACATGTGAGGGGAATTAAACAGGTTGTGTAACATGCCCTTGTCTTGTCCTCTGGCGCCTCCTTTCCTGTAGACAGGTGGGGGGGAGGCTGCAGGGGGCACCCAGGCATCCAGCCCAGCCCTGCTGTGCTGCAGACTGCTGGGAATGCTGGGAGCTGCTTTCCTAATCTGCATGGCTCTTTATGGCTCTGGTGCCTCGGAAAGAACAACCAAAAAAAAACACACACACAAGGCTTCTTAAGTAACTCCAAATATGAAACAAAATTTCTTCATCAGAATCTTGGGAAGATCACCCAGACACAGTACAAATCGAGTTCTAGAACCAACACATTGACAGCCACAGATCTGCGCTAGGGAGCCTACGTCCCAGACCTCCTTTGCAGGCAGGGTAGACGGACGGCTCTGGGTTCCAAGCCTTGGGTTTTTATCTCAGCAGCTCTGAGGCCTGGAGCAAACTGCCCCTCTCCAGGAACCAAGACTGATAATACTGGCACCTGCTGTCTAGGATTATGGGGAGGATTAAGTGAGGTGATGGGGGAGAATGCAAGGTCAGTAACAATAAATGTCAGCTGTCATTCTCATTGTAATTATTAGTTTCATCATCCTTCACCAGTACCATCGTTAGGTTGTAAAATGCACCCAGTAGGAGTTTGGCCAAGGAGCAGAGGCAGAGAACAGAGAGAAGACAAAAGAGAGAGCATGGCTGACACACAGCTGGAGTTGTGTGTCTCTTGCCCTTGTTTGCACCATCACCCCACTTCTTGAGGCCTGCGACTGCAGGTCAGGGAGAGCTGTGGCCTACTTTGCACCCGTGACTTGAACTGTCTGTGCGTGACTATTTTTTGTAGTCTGCTGGAACCTTCTGAATGCAATGCTGTGGCCCTTTGTCCACTTCTGTCACCTGTGTGTCTTTGCTACTGTTTCTGACCCCATTCTTGATACACTTCCCCGTGGAGAGCCCAGACACAGTCTGAGGGTCTGTAAGTCAGCTCCTCTGAGGTCAGAAATAATCCCTTCCTGGCTGACAGGGAGCACCTCTGCTTTAGACACTGGAAGGAGAGTTTACTGTAGGATGGGGTAGAGCTAAACTGGCCGAGGATCCAGAGTTCCTTCCGGCTGGAGTGAGAACGTGTGTATAATTAATAAACAGCAACAACAAACTGATACATAGTCCTTGGGTCCATCATTCCCTCGCCTGCTCAGTATACCAATCAGGACTACTATTCTAGGGGTGAGTCAGGGCTTATTTTTATCTCTTGACCTTTCCCCTGTTTACCCTCTTTCCCTTCTTTCATCATTCTTCTCTTCCCCTTCCTCATCTCCCTTAGGGGACAGTCAGAGTGACAGGTACCACTGACTGGTCATTTTCTGTGTGCTGGGTACCTTATTTAAGTCTTGTAATAAACCTGTGGGGTACTATTGTTAGCCCTGTTGTAGATGACAAAACCAAGGTCAGGGGTCCATCTGAAGTTGAAACCCAGGTCGTCCTCACCCCAACGTCCAAGCTTCTGTAAATTCTTATTTTTGGTGAGAAGCATACTTTTACCTGAGGACAAATCTGGTCCTCCGTGTGCTTCTCATAAACACACTGAGTGACTTACCCTCCTAACTAAAGTCTAGTATAACAATATTTCACCCAAGAAAAACCGGATTGAAACGAGGCCTTAAAAATTGTCATGTTCAGCCCTGGCTCGTGTGGCTCAGTGGATTGAGTGCCGGCCTGTGGGCTGAGAGGTCGCAGGTTCGATTCCCAGTCAGGGCACATACATGCCTGCATTTCAGGCCAGGTCCCCAGCTGGGGGCATGTGAGGGGCAACATCAGTGTTCCTCTCCCTTTCTCTCTCCCACCTACCCTAAAAATTAATAAATAAAATATTTTTTTAATTGTCATGTTTGGTTTCCCTCTAAGGCAAGTATCCCTTATTTTGCAGATATGACTGTTGATCATAGTTTACTATTTTTAAGGCAACTGATTTTAAAATCAATCTTAGAAAAATTGTTAGAAAACTCTTATATTTAACGAAAAAAATCCATCACCTCCAACACACCCTTTAATCTTAGAACAATGCCTGGGTGAGCCCAGTCTTTTCTAAAACACGTTCCTTAGGACAGAAGAGTCACATCCCCAGTAAATCTGTGTGGCGGCCGAGCGGTATCTCCGGGTCTCAGTGGTGGTTGTTGGGAGGTGGCGTCCGGGTCCTCCCCATCCAGGTCACCCTCTCTCCCTTCTTCTTCCTCTCCTCCCCTGCCCTGTGCCTGGTGATGTCAAGACCGACGCTCAGTGGCCTTCTGGGATCCCTGCAGGTCACACTGGTAGCGCTTTGCCATCCTCCTAAGTATGAGGCACAGTCACTGCCGCAGCCAGGAGCTGGGAGCTGAATTGGTTTTGTGTCGCTGCCTCTTTCTCCCAGAACTTAATGGT